TTTATTTCCCTTGTAATCTTAACTTGAAAAACAGTCTATTTTTTCTTCCAATCTTGATTGTAGATAATGTTCAGTACATTCATTGTAATTAGGACCTATATTTGTGTTCCCCAATAAAAATTTGTTATCCCTGTTAGCAGCTTTAAGTATCTTTTGAGTTTTACTCTTAACTTGTTCACATAAATAATGAATATTCAGGAAAATTTGTTTTTTTGTTAGGCAAAGGCTTGTCTTTAATACCCACCAGAGAAGAATGTTTACTTTGTTTAATTAGGGGTATGATATCTCCTTCAGCCTCCAAGTAGCTAACTCAAAGTCCTTAATGAGTTAACTGATGTGTACTGTAAACTAAATGAAAAAGTAGCCCTTTTCCTTAAACACAGTGAATAAATACTCATGCTTTTATGATGGCATTCCTTTCTATAGGTGGCTGGGATCAATCATGGCTGGAAAAACTTGTTTTAGTTCTTGGTTATCAAGAAGCACAGAATCCCTTACTTGTATTCTGAAGTGTTCTAGAAACACGTATCAAAATGTTTTGTTTCACATTCAAAAGAATCCTTTTCCCATATGAAGTGTAGGGGTGAAATGCATGCTGAAATTAGAACTTTGGTCACACATTGCACAGAACACTGACAATAAATTGTTTGTTTCTTTTTCAATATGCATGCTTACTGCCATTTTAAAAATCAGTTTGTTGTTCAAGATGTTTTCTTTGATCTAGTATAGCTCTAGTTAGGATTTCTGAAGCTGATAAAGCTTCAAAATAATGATATTAAAAATGCAAACTCCTTTTTATAATCTGCCATTATCCTTAAGTGAGTTTTTAGGGAGGATGTCCTCTTTCCTGAGTATGACTAGATACATACAATACATCTTTTAGTCTAGTTCTGTAGGTTATTCTAAGCAGGTTGCCCAGGATCATGTCCAGAATGCTTTTGAATATCTCTACAATCATCTGGGCAACCTATTCGTGTAGTCAGACACCCTCACTGTCAAGAAGGTTTTCCTGATGTTCAGGCAGAACCTCCTGGGTTTCGGTCTGTGCCTGTTGCCTCTGGTCCTGTCGCTGGGCACCACTGAAAACTGCCTGACTCAGTCTTAATTACACCTTCCCTTTGGGTATTTGTATACCTTGAGCTGCCTCTGAGCTTTCTCTTCTGTAGATGACAGTCTCAGCCTCTCCTCGTAGGAGAGATGCTTCAATCCCTTAGTCATCTTTGTGGCCCTTCTCTGGACTGTCTCCAGTAGCTCCATGCCTCTTGAGTACAGGGGAGCGTGGAACTGGACACAGTACTCCAGACGTGGCCTCACCAGCGCTGTGCAGAGGGGAAGGATCACCCCCCCTTGACCTGCTGGCAATGCTCTTCCTGATGCAGCGCGGGATGCGGTCAGGCTGCTCTGGCACAAGGGAACATTGCTGGCTCGTGTTCAGTTTGCTGCCCCCCAGGTCCTTTTGTTCCAAGCTGCTTTCCAGCTGGGCACTCCCCAGTGTATACTGGTGCAGGGGGTTATTCCGCCCTAGGTGGAGGACTTGGTGCTTTCCTTGGAACTTCATGAGGTTCCTGCCTGCTCAGCTCTCCAGGGGTTGAGGTCTCTGGCAGCACAGCCTGTGTTTGTCACTGTTCCTCCCAGTTCTGTGGGGGGGGGTGACCCTGCTGATGGTGTGCTGTGCCCCATCCCAGTCACTAATGCAGATGTTGGGCAGGACTGGAGCCAGTGTTGTCCCCTGCACTACACTGGTAGTCACTGGACTCCAGCTAGGCTTTGTGCCACTGACTGAATATGGATTACAAAAATGAATGCTATTATTGATAATACTAAGAACATATTATAGTGTCATATAGGTTTCATCTTATGGTATAATAATAATAATAGAACCCGTGATACAAAGGTGTGTCTTACAGTGATTGCTGTTCTCTCATTTTTTACTGTGGCTCCATTTAGAGACGGGGATTAGGAATTGATTTGCCTGAGACGGTACACTGGATCAGTGGCAGTCAGAGTGGTAACTTGTAGCGGTTCCTACTTTTTAAAGCTATGTTACATTAATTTTTGTTAGACTGTTGCCTCACAAGTATATGATATAAAACCTTGACTTCGATTTAATATTTATCATTAATTAGGGAAGTGACTTGCTCCTTTATTTACAGACTTCAGCAGCACAAGCTGCTTGTTAACTTATCATTCACTTAATATTCCTCATGTCAGTGATAAGCTAATGTTCAGAACACAGATGTATTAGGTTGCCTCCATATGGTGCTTTGTCTAATGAATCAAATTAACTATTTTGGAAAAAACCCTTGTGAAGTTATTTTTTTCTTGTGATGAAAAGTCATCCTACAAATAGTGGAACAGGTTTTCATTGATTTTTGTGTTTGAGCATATTTTTCGGCAAAAGCTGCAGTAGTTTTGCTAGGCTCTCATTTAAATTTTCTTTCCACTTGGGAAAAGCAGGGGTTTTCTGTTTGCTTTAAAGTTTATATTTGGCAGATTTGGAAGAGTTCTATGAGTCAAAGGTATCAAGTGATACTCCTCTCTTCTAGTATCTGTATTTGCCACTTAGGGCATGCAGTCTTTCAGCTCCTTTGAGTAGTTGGGGTTTTTCCCTGAATTGTTAACAGTTCATTTAATAATGCAATCTGTGTTTGAAATGCTTGGGAAGTAAACAAGTAAACTTTGCGAAGTATGCAAATAGAAGAACACACAAATGTTTGCAGATTTGGCACTGTAGATTTGTGAAATCCTAGAAACTTCAGTACTTTCATGTGCCTTGTTGTTGAAGGACAAAAATTGAGTATCTAAAATTACAATCACTGTTCACACCATATGTCAGTAGCTTGTGATTTTCACCTGCACCATATTAGGTTAAAGTAATTTTTCAACAAAGAAAATACTTATTACTGGCATTGTCTTTTGATGGGGAATATGTATTGGGGTTTTTATTAAAAAAAAAAAAAAGACTTAATCTTTGATAAGGTGTGAATATTTAAAACTTGAAAGACAGATACATGGAAGAAGAAACTTTTAAGGTGGTTTTGCATTAACTTCTGAGGGTTATAAATTCATAGTTTAATACTTTGTCAGAATCTGTCAATTTTTATCAATCTTTTTATATTAAGTGTTTTTACTGTATTATCTGGGGCATTTTAGTTAACATTACATGTTTTTCTACATACAGTACTGGTTATGGAATGTTCCACTTGTATTAGACTGATTAAAGGACCACTGTAACAGCTAATGTAATATCAGACTCTTAATTTAAAAACAAATAAACAAAGAACCAATACAACCCCTGTCCCCTATTCAACTTCCTTATTGAGATTCTTCTGGAGAAGTTGCAACTTTTCTAAAAGAAAAAAAATGAAGTGATATGATAAATCCTGCTAAGGCGACAGGGAAGTAAGGATCATTTCTGTTGACCAAATACAATCGCTTATTATGAAACTGAGTTGTTTTGTTTGGCAGAACCAGTGTACCCAGGTACCAAATACAGCATATATGTAGCCATCTGCAAAGTAGCATAAAAGTGTTCATTATACTGTTGTGTTCTCAGACGGAGTTATTTATACTTCCTGTGCTGTCTAGTTCTCCATTCCCTAGGAAACTGCTGTGTTTACTAATTTTTGTGTTAAAAGTAGGTGAAATTTATTTTTATACAAGCTGCCAACTGTGATAAGTTGCATTATAACTAGTATAAATAATATGCTTTTAAGAAGTCATACATAAAACATCATATTGAGAAATCTTACTCATCATGTTACTGGAGATAACTCTTATTTCGGTATCATTTTAAAGCTATTCTTGTCTTTCACATTTCTTTTCCGAGTAAGAGGATGTTACAACACTCATATAAGCACTTTAAAATAGTTTTCCTGGAAATGCTTAAGGAGATGTGTCAGACTTGTCTCACTGTCTAACATATACTTGTTAACTTTAAATATTACAGTAAACTTTGAGAATTTTAATCTCTTTAATAGGTGTAATTAGAGCTAATTATTCAGCAATGAAAATGTTACCAAATCTGCCCTTTTTAATTTATTTTTAGCCTCTCGATAGCAGGAGTATGTTGTCAGTTTTAACATCACTGCTGAATTTTTTGCTTAAGTCACCCTGGTTTCTTTTCCCCTGTACTCCCCACTCCACTTAGTACCTGCTTGTGTCGCTGGCGATGGAAAGCTCCTGATCCTGGTTATGTGGCAGGGGATGGCTGGGTCACCGTACAGCTGTGTGCAGCTCTAAATAGGACCGGTGCTGCACAACACATTTTTCAACACTTAGTATTAAATATCAAATTCTCTTAATTGCCAGTCACACAAAAATTGCACATATGTATGTGAAAAGTAACAACAAAAGTCATCTGGAGCAGATGCTAGGTACTGTCATGTACGGCTTCTTGGAAAGTCTAGCTTAAACAGATTAAATGTTTTCTTGCTGTTATGTTTAGAATATATTAGAAATAATTGCAGACCTGCACTTGAACTGTTTCCCTAACAGAAGAAATATTTTGGTAATGTGTAATGGCAAGATAAACAGGAGGTTAAATAATGTCACTTTCAACACTTGTAACATCTTTAATACAAATACTAAGGCATCATTAGCACCAAACATCCTTTATGTGTTTACATATAAAGATGGCATGGTGAGATCAGCATGGTAATTTTACCAGAGGAAGCTGTTTCTTTAACAATTATCTGTCCCTCTCACCTGAGCTTGAACAGCAAGCAGCCCAGAAACTGTAACAAGATTATGATCATGTGAGGAAAAAGAGACAGGGATAGAGAAAAGGGAGAGGCAGTGGTGAAAGCACATCCTGCAGAAGCTGTCATTTACAGCTGCCTTAAAAAAAAAAAAAAAAAAAAAAGTCATCAGGGATTTTAGCTGAGCGGTGATATTTAGAAATTCAAGATTGATTTAAGTTAGAACTTGATTAACATAGTGTGTCTGATATTGCTGTGCTACCATGCTGCTTCTTTACACCTTTTTAATTTATTTCTTAGAATCAATCTACCGACGTGGAGCCAGAAGATGGAGGAAGCTCTACCGAGTGAATGGGCATTTGTTTCAAGCCAAACGTTTTAACAGAGTGAGTACTATTGCATAAAATGTTGGGGTTTGGTAGTGTTCTGTGGTAATTGTTTTCTCAGTCTGTGCTTTTTCTGTATTTGAGTGTTGAGAAGAAGGGAAAAGCAAGATGCTTATTCATACGACTTCTCAATCTGTGCAGTGTTATTCAGGTCATAACAATAAGGAAAACTTGAAAGTCTTTGAATTTGGGATGGAGTTAATAATATACAACTGGAAATTTTCTATTTTTAAAGTCTCCAAAAAAATGGATTTGTGACTGTTTAAAGTGATACATACTTCAAGCAGTTTTTCTCCTCTCCACTGTGATTTTGATTGCTTGTTAGCATAATCTTTTACCTTCAGTGCTTTTTGTCATTCTTGAAGATGAGAGGTCTTGCTTTTAGCTTTAACTGTTTTGAATCTGAAGTATCACACTACCTAATTAAGAAAAAAAAAAACCAAACAACCCTGTTTTATTGTGTTAAAATAAAACTGCATTAGGAATCTGACTTAATCCACATTAGCAAGTGAATGTAGCTTTAAGGCTGAGACACCTCATGCACTTACTCCATTATGCCTGAGTATTGCAGCATATACACAAATGTAGAATACACTTTTAGGAATTCTATACAAAACTGAGTACAGTGAGTTGAGTTAACTTTCTGATTCAGCGGTAATTTTTGTAATATTAAATTAGCATCTTTTTTTCTAAAGCTCTCTACCCCAAAACTGCATTGAAAGAAGGAAAAGCCCCTTAAAACTCAATATCTTACCATTAGATATGCGAAAAAGGTGTCATATATCTGAATTACAACATGCATTTGTATAATGTCGTGTACCAACTCAATTTTTTTAAAGTGTGAAACATAATTTTTTGGTGCTTATTTGCTACATAGTTGAAACATATTTCTTTGAAACACCATGAATGTGTACTTGCCACGTTAATAATCCGTAATGATGCTTCAATTGAAATTAGGCAAATAGTGAATATACACATAAAGATTTTGAAACCTCCTTAGCATGCCCATTTGTCAACAATCCTAAACAAGACTACTTTGTTATAACTGTCTGTACACAAATGAAATCATGTAAAGCCAGAACACAAACCATACCCAACTGAAGTTAGTAATAAAGTTGACATGAACTGTAAAATACGACATTAAAACGTATAAATTAATAATAACTTATGGTCATATATGTATTACTGAATCAGATACAAAATTTTACTGTTGACTGAATTTTTAAGACTGGAGTATTAGCTGATGAATTCATAACTTTTTCAAAATAACCTTTAAAAACTTTTTCAAGTAATTCAGGTAAATGAACACATTCAAGAATCTAAACTTCAATCTTGTTGAGCATAATGTAAAGGTTAACTCTTCGTTACAGCTGTATTTGTATATTTGGAGAGGTATGAGAACGATCCCTGTATTACTGAAGGAATTTGGGAGCTGCCATTACATACTTTTTTTTTTTCTCTTGCTTCCTGCATCTGACTGAAGTAAATGAAATTATTTTTTCTATGTCTTTTCCAGAGCTTGGAAGACATTTTATTTAGTCTTAATATTACTGTTGCCAAACCTATACAAGAATACTGAAGGAAGTGTCATGGACCAAGAATTTTGAAAGAAATGGCTATAGATGTCTAAGACTTTTTAGACAGTTCTTAGGCAGGTTTTTTGGGTGGTTTTTTGGTGTTTTTTTTTTTTTTTGTTTTTTTTTTTCCCTGGGCAATGCAGTTTGGGTTTCTCCTGATCAAGGAAGACTGGCTATACGGATGAATTGGATGTAGTTAAGTTTTGTTTTCTACAGCTATCAAAATATGAGAAATGTAATACAGCAAATATGTTCTAAAAAGGATCCATTCTTTGACCATTAGTTCTTTTTGTTGTTTTTTCTTCTTTTTTTTTCCTTTTTTTTTTTTTCCCCTCTGGTAAGGATCTGTAGTAGCTTAACGCTTTTGGGCAGGACACTGTGTATGATTCATTAGTCTGAGGATCTGAATAACCACACTCCAACTTGCAGTTTGCTGGGAGGAACAGACTTCCACTGTTTTGTGGCTTTGGGACAGTTGCAGAGTTCTGTCTAAGCCTGGGAGATGAGTGCAGGACTTCATGTGCAGCCTGCAGAATGGTAGCAATGGCTTAGCCTGTTACACTAATTACTGGAGAAAATTTGCAGACAGGGAATAATGAGTAAGTCTTCTGTTGGCCACCTGTGCACAGTGTAGAGGGTAAGTGAGACTATAGGTGACTTCTTGACATGTAAGAATCTTCGATTGCTATTTGGCACTTTACCATAAGTGGATAAAATGACCACAGCACACATACACTGGAGAAACTATTTAAAGACCTGCCTTGTTAAAGTCAGCAGTAGAATGCCTGGCTTCTTAATTTGTCCTCATTTTGATTTAATTTATTCAGATGACATTTTGTTGCATGTGTAAAAAAGGCCATATATTTTTTGGTACCAAATAGTGCAACATACGAGGTTTTACGTCAGACTTGATAAATGGGTTTTAATTATGCAGAGTTTTTACTAATGTTCTACTGCTGTTAAAAAATGTAAGTGCAGGTACAGAACATTCTTCATACTTTAACTTATCTTTTATAACATTTTGTGCCAGTGTTCTCCAAAGCAGTCAGTTTGGGTACTTTTTATGCATAACTGTGTAGTACAAATTCCTGTTAGTTTTGTTTGGGTAACCTTTGTCAGAACCTGAAATTCAAAATACACTTACTCTCTAAGAATGGTTTGCTAATGTTAGGCTGTAATGTGTTCCATATGCTTGAGATATTTGTTTTCTTAACGTTCATTAAAAAAGGACTGCATTTAGCTGGATTTTAAGTATGAAGTGTAGCCTTCAGTTATTAGGGAAACCTTGGATATTCTTACAGTTATTTTCGAATATCTGTTAGGAGGAGACTAGGGTGGATTCTTGCTGCTAGGTAACTACTCACCTATAGAAAGGAATTAATGATTGAATTGATAATATGCATTTTGTCTTTTAGAGAGCGTATTGCGGCCAGTGCAGTGAAAGGATATGGGGTCTCGCAAGGCAAGGCTACAAGTGTATCAACTGCAAATTGTTGGTCCATAAACGTTGTCATATACTTGTTCCACTGACCTGCAAAAGGCATATGGTAAGTTTGTGCTCTGTATAAAGCTAAGATGTTTCATTGTGTCCTGCGTTGCAGTTTGTAGATGTGCATCCTAAGTAATTAAATGCTGTGCATGGTCGTGGCTTTATAACTCTCGGTGGTATTTGGTTTTCAGTTTTTGAAATGTCTATGGAGGACAAGCCTTTGGATTGTGAGCAACAGAGGCAAAGTGAGAAAAGAAAACTTGTGATACAATTTAAGTGTGAGCAAGCTTGAGATTGATTGCTCCAGTAGACATACTGTATTTTACAGATAGATAAAGAGTTGTCATTGACAATCTTAACATTTGTTCCTCTTAGCCTATGGGAATGTTTTATGAATGAGGCACTAGTGTGGGTTTTGCCTTGCTGCTTGCAGAAAGGCTTGTTGCTTTCATATTCTAGCTGTCTCCAGTATTGTTCTCATCCTCTCCATTTCCCTCATATGTTCCAGTGGCAATGCTAGTGTCTTTCCTAGGCTTTAAACATTAATCTGTACTCCCGAATTTTAGCCCTTCTACATACTCATCACTGACTATAACCAGTATCTCACTGGTTGCATCATGTTTTTTCTAACTTAAAATTTAAACCAGTATTTTTCTTTACCAGTTTTGCCCGTAACTTGTCTTGACATCATTAGATTCTTTGCCAATTTATTTATGCATGTTGCTATACTTACTGGAAAAGTCCTACATTTCTCATAATGAGTTATGAATGAGACCAGTGTCCAAATATACTATAAAACTGTTTGGTATTGTGATCTTTACCAATTTATGCAATATCCTTGCATAATGAGTAGCAATTCATGTTTTTTAAACAGGAAAGGAATATGCCAGTGTTCTAAATTGAGTGTGTAGCATCATGCTGAGGTGTTTACTTTGTTGCTGTTCCATGTGGAACAGACGCAGAAGTCTTAAATAGAATTAAAGTTTGAACTTTTCAATAAAATATTCTAATCTTCCTTTTAGAAGACAGCTAGACCTCTGCTATAGTTGCAGAGAATGGTTGACATACCATTTATGCTTCTGGTAGGCTGGTTTTATGATGCATTACAAAATGTTAATATTTGGGAATACTTTCTACAAAATCTGGTTTTCTTTCTGGAAGGTACAAATGTAAGGTTCTTGCAGTATTGTAGATATATGGCAAGACATACCTGAAAGGGACTACATAAACCAGTGTGGGTTTTCCTATATAACTTAAATATTTTTTAAGGATTCGGTCATGCCTTCCCAGGAGCCTCAGTTAGATGATAAAAACGATGAAGTTGACCTCCCTTCAGAAGAAACTGATGGAAGTGAGTACTTTCTTCTCAGTTGGAATTTATGTGTTTCCCTATTTGGAGGCCCAGTTTCTGTTCTACCTGGTTGGATATTTTTTTAAAGTTTACTTTGAATTATCTCTAGTTTAGTCCCATGGACTGAATGCTCATTTAGGGACTCAAATTACAGTAAACGTACTTCAGAAGCATATAATCTGGTTTGGTTTCATCCTAAATTCATATGCTCTGAAACCATTCCAGAGTGTGGAGTTAAGCACAGAGCAATTGGCAACAACAGAATTAGTTCTTAAAACAAACAAAAAACCTGCACTCCAGATCCAAACTATGATGCTAATATAAGTGCACCCTCAGACTTTTAAGTATTTCTTAATTCTGTGCAATTTAGACTATTCTTTCTAGGTTCATAATTTTGATGGTTTAAGCTGCCTTGTTTTAAGGGCCCATTTATCATACCCATTCTCCAAAATGTCTCTGGCCTTGGTCGGACACTGTTACGAGCTCAAAAGTTCATTGATGAATTTCTTACTGTCTCAGAGTTGGCTGTTTCTGCAGTACCCTTAGGATCTGCTGTCAGGGTTACAAGAATAAAGGTGAAAAATTTGATCAACTGTCCCATAGTATTTAAAGCAAACTGCTGACCCTAAGCTACTAATTCATCTTCCCATTTACCAATTTTTAAAATTGTTTCTAATGAAGACCTTAACCACACTACTTCAATTTCTTCTCCAGTTCCCTACATTCCTTCAAACCGGAAACATGACAACATTAAAGATGACTCTGAGGTAGGTTTTAAAAATATTTTTGTAATTCACATTTACACCCTCTTAATCATACAAATTTGTATAAAATAGCTAATTATTTGTCCTACTTTTTCTGCTACCTTTTAAAAAAGAAACCTGGGTTTTCTTTCTGAAAATTGATACTTTTTTTTTAAGCTTCTTTGATTTTTCACATTTCTGTATACAGCTCTTATCTCAGTCATGATGTGGGAGACACTTTTTTCTCTTTTTCTCCCCTCCTTTTGTGTTGGAACAACAGTGATTTAGCAGAGGGCTTGACTTTGGTGCTTGCAACAAACAGTGTCTTTGACATTGTCTTGTCTGCTCTCTCTAATGGATGTACACCCTTGGTCACCCTTGGGCTACCTCTACAGGCTGTCATCATGAAAGTTGGTTCAGTCTGATAATACATTAACTGTCCAGCTCTCTGAGATGTTTCGTATAAGTACCACCTAAGAGTTTATAGACAGCTCCCATGGAAATGCAAGTAGAATAACATACACTTAAATTCTGTTTTTCAGCTCTCTTGTAGACAGCCTGACACAATCTCTGCATACCAAGAATGTTATTCCCTTAAAGCAGTTCGGAAAATCCTGATACGCTTTAATTCTAAAGGGATTCGAGACATTTCTTTTAAAAATGCTTCTGGCATATTTGAAATAAGTAGGATGCACTCTGCAGAACACTAGCAGTTAGTTTGATATCTCACTTTTAACAAGCCTGCCCCTTCTTTTCCTCTATGTCTAATACAATACTTGTCACTTCCATTATTTCACACTTGAGTAGTTACTGCTCTTGGGTGACTGCCTTATTTTCAGTCATGTGTCTGCAGATTTTACCTCAGAATCTGAGATGGAAGGATATAAATTTAAAACATGTCAGAGGGTTTTAATTGCTATCTAAAATTACTGACTTCTGCTATGGTTAGTGCTCAGGTAGATACTGTTTGTATTTAAATTTTGATAGATGCTGTTTGCTCAACTGTCCTGAATTACGCTGCTCTGATTTTCCCACTTGCCTTTGAGTTTTACTAAAATAATTTAAGGTATCATACAGAGAGGAAGTGGTATTCTGGGAGCTTTGTTGACTAGAATCTTTAAGCTCAGAGCAATCTCTTCTAATAGCAGTCAATCGTAGATCAAGATTCTTTATATATATACTTTTAATAGTTCAGCAGAATGCTGATCTGTCTACAAGTACAGTAGTATGAGGTCAGATAAAAATAGGCCACAGAATTAAGTCAAAGCATTGTATATATTGGTAAAACATGGTATGTCAAAGTATGTGCTGCATTTATCTCGTTGAGCTGCTTGATCTTCAGTCTCGTGTGTTTACATCTAACTCCAGCAAACAGTCAAGATAATATTTATCTTTATGAAGAATGGTATTTTTAAATTCATTATTTAAAGTGAAATATTTCCTGCAAATTCTCACATTTGAGAAATTGGCCTCTGCCTCTGTATGTCCCAGGCACCTATTAGAAATCTTCATTTTCATTAAAGCTGTGGTGAACTTGATATAAACAGCTGTTGCGTAAAAGGAAACCAAGAGAGGTATATTCATTAACAAATTATTGTTTATTATTCACCATCTTTTTAGATATCCTTTACTAATTTGCACAACAACATCTGTCAGAATATGAAAGATGCTCTTCACTTAGTGCAAGGATAATTCTACGTGGCCTGTGGTTGAAGAATTTGAATAAAACCTCATTTTGCCAAGGCATTGCCTTCTGATTTCCAGTAGGGAATATTTAACTGATGCATTGAATGAACTACTGCCTTGAAAAACACAGTAATTTTTGTATGAGCAAAACCAATACCAACCAAACATTTCTAAACATACAGTGTTATAGTCAGCCATTCAGATCTGTGTGCTGGTGATAATGGCAAGCAAACTTAGCAAATTCTGTCCAGCGCTTAAAGACCTCATTGCTTTAATAGTTACTTGTGATGAAAGTGTCTTCTGTTTCTAGCATTTGTTTCTTTTTATACAGGATATCAAACCAGTCATTGATGGAATGGATGGAATTAAGATTTCTCAGGGGCTTGGACTACAGGACTTTGATTTAATCAGAGTTATCGGACGTGGAAGTTATGCCAAAGTTCTTTTAGTTCGATTAAAAAAGAATGATCAAATTTATGCTATGAAAGTTGTGAAAAAAGAATTGGTCCATGATGATGAGGTAAAAGTCAGTGTTAATTGCATTCTGTTACATTTTGTAGAAATACAGTGTGCTTTAACAAAATACATTCAATTAAGAAAGCAGCTAAGGTTTTAGACAGCATTTCTGTAATATAAGTTTTACTGACTTGTAACTCTCAGCAACTGCATGAACCAAGATTAAAACTGAGAGAAATGTTCCTTATTTTAATATCAATTAACGGTTCTTAATAGTCTTAGTAGAATGCAAGTGAAAGATACTCCAACCTGGATGTGCTAATCTGTAAGTGATGAGATAAATAGGGTGGAATTTGGGCACTTAACTTTGAAAGAAAACAAAGACGTTTCCCAAGGCGAATGAATGTAGCTGCAAAGTATTGTCTGTATTACAGAGTAGGAGCTGAAACTGTGTTCTTACAGTCACAATTAGAGAGTTTATGTGCAAGTGATGCACTACTTGAAGATTTTTTTTTTTTTTCATGGGTTTAAAAAAAAAATAGGGCTACTACCATTTGAGGTCATTGTGGTTTATTTGGCTTGTAAAAAAAAATACTGTTTGCCATAGAAATCAGTGCTGCATTTCTTGATTACTTTCAAAATCATACTGAAATTTTTTTAACACAGGATCTCAAATACACAAGTTGGGGGGGGAAGAAACAAACAAAAAAAAAGAAAACCAAAAGCTACCCTTAATCTTTTTCCTATAATATTCACACTTCTTGAAAGGTATAGATTTTATATCCATTCTTTTTTTGTCTGTGGGGGAAAGTGATGAACCAATCACAGCAAGCAAGGCAGGCAGATTTGCACTGCCTACAGTACCGTTAGACTGGAACCTGCTGTGTTGAGTAATGGAATGGGGACTGGGGTAACTGGGGTGCATGTGGTCAGACCCCAGCCCTGATCAAACAGCCGAGGCTCCTGACGGAAGGATCACTGGTGCTGTCGGGCTGCCGGCACTACTGGAACGCTGCAGCGTGACATGCTCGTGTGGGAGTGGCAGTGTGTATGGTGGGGTACATCAAGTATGACACCGTTAAATGGTTGAAGAGTAAAGAAGTACTCTGCCATCCTTGGGGGTGGAATCCCAAACTCTAATAAAATCAAATAAAAGAGAGATGGACAATCAGTTCCACCTTATAGGAAATTTCTTACAAAGCTCTTCTTACAATACAAAGTGAACTTTTCAATTATAATGCAATTTTAAGCTGATTTTTTATTAATTTTATGCTGTTAGGAAGACTGGATTTCTTGAAAGTATGATGTTGGGTTAAAAAAAAGGACCAACTCTGTTTGAAGTACTATTTGTGTTGGTAGTTTCAATCAGTTTCTCTGGCTGCCATCTTTGTCATTGTTCTAGAGGCTAGTGTTAGGAGAGCAAAGTTGTAACGTTCTAAAATACTTTGGCTTGCTCATTTTTTTGATGTTTCTTTTTATGATGAAAGATTAGACTGTTGTCTGGTCTATTTACTGTTTTCTTTTTAACACGTGTTTTTCCAAGAAGGTAGAAGCTAAAGAAAAGCATTATTTAATGAGTTACGCAGTTGTTACTGAGAAATGGAGGTAGAGAAAATTCTTTTGTCAATAGTGGCTGTCATAGATAATTACTTAGAAGATTGAGCTGACTGGTTTTTGTTTTCTATAAGATAGGCTGTATAATGAAATTCTGGGAATTGATAGGAAATTCACTGAATTCTATGAATGCATGTGATATTTCAAATAATGAAAATTTCACCTACTAAGTGTTTCATGAATAAAGAAAATAAATTGCATAGCAAGCATCTGCAAGTTTAAATCGGCTAGTGTTTTCCAGGTAATGGTTGATACTGGAGAGAAGCAAAGATTCTTTTCTAAATGAGATTGAATCAGGTCAAATACCTGGGAATCTGTCATGAAATTTTTCTGAGCTTAATCTTGTTAACAGTAGCGCACTAGTATAATACTAATGTACTAGTACACAAGTGCAATAATGAACGGTTTAGTTTAAAGACTACTAAAGAGAACCTCCTTCAGTAAAAATAAAAATAAATGGACATGTTTACTGTTTTATTCAAAATTGGATTTTTGGCTCATGTTTTGGACCCAGGTTTACCTTTCCAAGGTGTTAGATCTTCAGGAGTGTCCGACCACAAAATCTAACAGATTTATTTAATTTGAGGGTGACATTTCTTGATTTCCTTTGAGACAGTTTCACTAACTACCTTTGATAGGAAGGCCTGGTTTCTCAGTATCTGTCTTTGTTGTCTCCAGATTGGTTAAAAAGCTGGAAGTAGCTGTTGTAAATGAAGAATTTTTAGAAATATTATTTCTAGTTCAGTGGCAGGGTACTGAGTGTCTGCAGGGTGGAACGTGATTGGTATATGGCATGAAGAGTGAGTATTGCAAAAACCAGTTGTCTATAAAGTTTCAATTTTGTATGGTTATATGAAAAACGATTAAATGCTTTGTATTATGGCTCTGAATTTTGCAGTATTGTGCTAGTATCATTGAAATTTTGCTAAGTTTTTATTATATGGTATTGCTCTGGGCATTCAGGATTTTGCCCTGTTGAAGTATTAAAGGTAGTCTGTGATACTTCTAAGAGTTACTTTGGTTGGACAAACTAATCAGGTCGTGGTAGCTTAATTGAATTCATTTTGAGTTTCAGATGATAAAATGAGGTTCAGTTTAGTTCAACCTTCTGAAAACTGGAGATTCACATTGCTTGTGTTACTGGCATGAGTTGCTTAATCAGCCTTTGGATCATTTATCTAAGATAATTGAATTTATTTCTATGAAGCGGGATGAGCAGTGTATCAAATATTGCAGATGTATGATATTTTTAAATGGCTTAAATTTTGTGTAGACCTTTTGAAATGGGTTAAGAAACTTCTGAATATGTAATTGAATTAAAATGTTTTATAACTTCCACCAGATTTTAGGGGGGGTTGTCTTTCTGAAGAACATGTGTGACAATGATAGTATATGTAAGGGAGCATAGATGTTCACAATTTCTTTTCTGGGAATACCCACAGTGGTTATCCAGCAGGAGTTCTGATTGTTCAATTACTCTATTTCAGGATATTGATTGGGTACAGACAGAGAAACATGTGTTTGAACAGGCATCCAGTAACCCATTCCTAGTTGGTTTACATTCATGCTTTCAAACAACAAGTCGGTAAGAAAGATCTGAAATTATTTTGTTTTGAAAATTTTGATCATTGTACTAACTGCTTCTCATAAAGCAAACATAACCACTGCCATCACATAGTCAGTAATTTTTGGAAGGAAGCATTAATATCATCAGGTATTTGCTACTTCAGCAAAGCCAGTTCTACCAGGATAGCATAGCCAGTGAGGTGTGGAGCAAAAGGCAGGTTTCCAGGTCCAGATCTGAAGGGAGGAGATGAAGGAGAAAGAGGAGGAACTGTGCGCTGTGTTCCTGAGCCCTGGCCATGTGGCTTCAGGAAGGAGGAGGATGGTAGAGGGGTGAAATAGCTTTGTAAGAGATAGTTTATGATTCCTGATTTTACTGAAGAGGGCTAAATCGATTCTCAGAGGGCCAAACTAGTTATCTGATCTTCAAAATAGCTAAGAGTTGGGCTGCTCAGTAATAATAGTTTTTAACGATAACTTAAAAACCTACATGTGTATGAAGTAGTTTTTACCTATGAGGTTTATAAGCCCCCATACTGATGAAGTATGTGATTTTACTTGAAAAAGTGCTTAATAAACGCTTAGCTACTTTGAAATACCTTTTTTTGGTCCTTGTGTGGGCAATCTGAAGTGGATTACTTGCTTCTTATTTTGCAATTGGAACATGAAGAAAATCAAGAAGACCTTTCATGCCCGTGCTTATGTATGTCACTGGGGAATTTGGATGTGGGGGGTTGTAGTTTACTGGGGGTTTTTATTCTCACAGGCTCCTGTTTACTGTTACACTTTAATGCCTGTTGCCCTACGTATCATAATCAGAAGATAAAAGTAATTCTGTTGGGCTTACTTGAATGGCATGCAGTGTAGAGCACAAACAGTTTTAAGGAATTTTCATGGATTATCTAGTCATTTATCCTTAAGAATAATCACCTGTTCATTACAGTGTGTATTGTCAGTTTTTAAAATGTGAAGCCATGCAGTGTACCATTTCTTCAGTCCCCAAACTTTAACCCCCCAATGGTTATAGTCATAGGAAATAACATTTTCCTAGCATGGAAAACATAACTAAGAATAAGGGAAATAAAGAAGCTGTATGAAGTGTGTTCTGAAGGTAAATGGACTAGGGAGTATTTTGAAGCAGGGAGAAAGAGTGATCTCCAAAGGTGACTGACTAAGGATTTGACCAAAAGAAATTTGTCTTGCAGACAGGAAAAAAAAAATAAAAAATCTTTAGATGACTAACAAACTGTTATGAAAGGCCCTTTAAGTTAAATGAACATTCGCAAACACCTCACCAAATACTAAGTAGTGTTGAACATCTAATACAAAAATTCAAATGGATGGGCAGGGTGAAGTTTTGAGAATGAGGTTTCTTATAAATATTAGAAACAAGAAAAAGGCTGAAGTTAGTAATAGAAAGATCCTTTGCATGCCACTTTGGTAGTTACGCTGACATAGCTGAGGAGCCAAAATAGAAAAAGAAACACGCTTAATTTAGTCAAAGCTTTCCGTGTTCCTGTTGTTTCTTTAGGAGTCGTGTTTTTCCAGCCTAGTTTCTCCTTGCAGTGAAACTATAGTTTTTTGTTTATAACTTCAGCCATTTGCCATGGATATAGCCATAATGTCTTGAATTCACAATTTGCTTATAGCTGTAACGTTATAAAAATCCCAATTACAACCTCATTATGGGAACAAAGATGAGCATGAAACTGATTTAAAGTGAATAAATGCATCAACATCAGATCGTGTTAACTGGCCTAAGAAAACAAGTTGTAATATGAGAACAGTTTGTGTATAAGTGTACTAATAGGGAGGAGAAAGTTGCAAAAGAACATGTTCTTTCTCTTAAATACAATTTTAAATAAATTCTTAAGATAAAAGAAATGTGTTCTTAAGGATGCTAATTGATGCTAAATGTATCTGTTTACATTGTTTCACATACTAATGATACTTGTTTTATTATTGTAATAAAATATGTGCCTTGGGCTTGCCCAGAATTGCCAGATAAGTGTCTTCCAAGGATGGCAACAATCTGAAAGGAGACGTTTGAGTAAATGCTTCTAAAACCAGCAAGGACTACTAGTATTCACACACTTACGTGCTTGAACATGACTTGACAGAAGGAACTTTAAATTGCAGATTGTGAATGGTGATAAAACATTGGAAGCTTCTAAACAGGATGAGAAAATTGGAAGCAAATATCAGGAATGCTGTAACAAAATAGATAACAATGCCATGAGTGTTTTATTTACTGTTTATTTAATTTCAGTTTAGTGTTTATATTCTTGTGGAGAGGCCACTGAAAGACTTGCAAGCTGGGTTGTGTCCAGTAATTTTTCCTAGTTTACCTTTTAAGTTTTTAACAATTGAAGTGTTTCAAATGAAGAATCATTTTCCAAGGAAAAAAAAACAAACTTTGTTATTAATTAGAATGGTCTGAGAGACTGGAGCATTTGTTTTCCAAACTGAATGTTTTCCAGTGCGTGAATATATGGAAAGGAGTTTTCAGCTCATGGAAAATGAGGTGTATAAGGAAATACTGCCTCCCAGGACAGCCGCAACCTTCATAAGAAACTCTCACTCAGCATGTTGCTGCCCTGTAGGTCTCTCTGACCTTGGCAGCATTGCCTGGATCATATTTTCCCAAGGATGAAACCTTTCCTGCAGACTGTAATAGAAGTCTTTTTTATATGGCTGATTCCATCTATATTTCTTTCCCCTACTGACTTTTCTCTTGCATGTTTTGGGAAGATGGTTTCAAAAACTTGCTCAACAGAGGAAATAATAAGCCTTGACACTGCAGCCTTTTTGTGCCCAAATCTTCCATTTCATGAATATGCTAATTACAGAGTAGCAGAAGTGGGTCTATTACACGTTCTTTTAATTCACATTGTTCTACAGATTTCTGCAGGCCTTGGCAAAGTCAAGGGAGGAGGGTGGGATTGCATTATCTGTCCTGCTAGCTCATCAAATTTACTTGTCATCTCTGATGAGTAATGGACATATGTCAATTGAGTGTCTCAGTCCCCAGATTCTTTAATCTCAGTCTATACAAAAGAAACAGAACTTTTTTTTTCTCCTCAGAATGACAGTATGTTTCTTAACAGTATATCAGGAAGAGTTCAGTGATGATCATAGGGTTTAACAGAAATAATTTTGTATATGTATATCGATAATATGCTAGATCACATTAATTGGAAAAAAGATGATCGTGTCATACGCTTTACAGATAAAACTTACTTTTTTTTTTTAAAGTCAGTTTGGGTTATGTTCCTCTAAATGAGTCCTATATCATCTTGCTTGCAGTAGATCTGAGCTTTCCAGGAACTGAAACGACACAAACAGCAAACTTCATAGTTACATATTTTATTAATGTCACAAATCCTACAAAACATACTGATTTCTGTAATATTGTCAGATACTCATTAATTGTTGTTCACGATGAAGTAATTCTTTAAAATTGTGACCTTTTAGTGCCAAACTATATCAAAAATACAAATGAGAATTTTCAGGCTTTACCCATGCAGAAATCATGTTGACTTAGGTGTATATAAACTGTATTTCATCTACAAAGCTCTTCAGATTTGATGCTGCAGTTTGGCTATTAGAAAAGAACAATATTTAGTCAAGCGGAATAACAATTTAATAATTATTACATCAGGGTAAATCTGTGTCAGATTCAGTAAGAAAGGCTTGAATATAGATTGATGCATCTCTTAAAATATTTTTTAATCGTAACCCCCTTATTTTAAATAATCAGCATTATTTTAGGCAGGCTTATTTTTTTACGTCAGATGTTGTTATTCAAAGCAGTGCACTCGCTGAGCACATTTTATACTGTGGAATTTTGTTTCATAGAAGAATCAACATTTTTGAATAAGAGATAGTCATGTAGCTATGTTGTTATTACATCTTTTTCAAATGAATGACCACTTCACCTTTTTTGGATAAACTTTCATTTGTGCCATGTGTCATCTTCTAGCATACTTGCATGATTTTGCTGCTATTTCTAAGTAATTTTTAAAGAAGTCTATATAGAGGGTTTTTTTCTTTTTACATCTATCACAGAGTACCTCATTATATTAGGCAAATGCTGTTGTCCTCTGTACTGTTTAAATAGTTATGCAGGTATCACACCAAATAGTAGCCTGTTGTATGCAGCTGCCTCTCCTTTACATTTAGTCTAGCATTTAAATAAAGGATTTGGTCCTACATAATATGGATCAAATAAGTACTCCTTTTTTTCCTCTTAAATAGTTTCTGTAACGATAAGAAATCCAGAAGTCTAATTGAAAAGAGGAAGTGAAAATGGTTCAAAGCGGAAGGATAAGAATAGATTTTCTTCTTGAGAGTTTCCTTGGAATCCATTAATTATGTTATATACTTTCAGATTGTTTCTTGTCATAGAGTATGTAAATGGGGGAGATCTTATGTTTCATATGCAACGACAAAGGAAACTTCCTGAAGAACATGCAAGGTACTTCACTAACACAGTTACAGTGATTTTTTTGTGTTGTAGTTTTTTAATATTGTATGAATGTGTTCCAGATTTAAGTTTAGAATGTACTGCCCTGGGAAGAGTTGTTAATTTTATTTTTTTGGAAGGATATATATTTTTTAAAGAAAGGAAGCATTTGATAAGTAGTTACAGTTATTTCTCTATACTTTTGGTTATCTATTCATATTTCATATTAATGCTTCTTTGATCTGTTGATAGAAGACGTAACTGTTTAACTTGATTTGGTCTTACGTTGAATTAATACGGTGTTGGTAGGAGAAGATGAAAAATCTATTTTGTATGGCTCTGGACTACACAAAGTCTCGTTTAAACTCATAGTAAGATGAAAGTACAGATCTTCTGTCATACTTGGATTTTAAAGAAATCAAACCTGTAGGATAAAGAATAAATATTTTCTTAATTAGTAGAATGCAAAAAATAAATTCCCATGTTTAATTTAAGTAATAGTTTTTCACTATACAAGATCAATGTCCTTGTGAATAAATGTCGCTTGTTTTTACTATACTGTTGATAGATACAAGCTGACTGTAAAGTGATGTTTTAAGAACAGATTGTTTAATTGTACTAGCTTCTGTACAATCTCAATGTTAATATGAATTTAATCCTTTTAAATTTCAGGTTTTATGCTGCTGAAATCTGTATTGCTCTAAACTTCCTACATGAAAGAGGCATAATCTACAGAGATTTAAAACTAGACAATGTTCTTTTAGATGCAGAGGGTCATATCAAATTAACAGATTATGGCATGTGCAAGGTAGGACTTTTCTTACCTTTCTTTTGTGACACTTATTCAGTAGTATATCTCTCTGGTTGTGTTTTTAAGTCAGATACGTCATCTAGTGATATAAAGATGAAATTTAGAAAATTTATCCTTATCTTAATGCTAGTGTTACTGAGCACAGACTTTGGTGGTAGAATAGGAACTTTATTCTGAAAAATAACGAAGAACAGAATGACGTTGCTAATTTTTTCCTTTTGTATTTCAAGTTACATGGGCGGGGAGACAAATGAACATACTTAAGTTTCCTTTGTGACCCAAGTTAGAAAATTTATCTCTAAGACAAGTATGTTTTTAAAAGAGTCTTTTCCATCTCTTAGTAACTGTGCTCCTGTGAGTGTGAACTGCAATCACTGTTCTCTGTGGCTGGACTGTACAGATTAATAACCCACAGGAGCTCTCTGGTATCTCAGTTCTTAGGCTGCAATCTTTGGCACGGAAGAGCAATTTAGGGAGCCTTGCCTTCAGAGCACCTGGTGTAAAGTGTAGCAAGTACTTAACATGATGCAGAGGAGAACAAGGAAACGTCAATGGAAAATAAGAGTATGAAAAATACTGAATTTAAAACTTTTGTGTGTAAAGTTGGAATGCCAGACATGACTGAAGCCATTGCAATCTGACAAGAATTCTTCTGTCCACTTAGAGCTATTGATTTGACCTCAGGTCTCCATGGTATTGCCCCACTGTGTCTGGCTCGTATGTGAAATGAGATTAGAACCCAGTCTACTCCTTGGTGAGAATAAGTTTCAGAAGACAAAATTGCAATTGGCATTGTGTTGATTTTTTAAAGTCCAAGCATTGAGTGTGTAATGCTAATTTTTATTTAGCTTATTTCAGTAAATTGTTAGGGCATGAGGAAAGCTTGTCTCAGTCCCTCTGTAGAACAGATACTGCACAATTTCTAAGAATGTCAGACTAGAATGTTTTTGCACTATCGAAGTGCACAGGTTGTGGGGCTTCACTTGGAATGCAGCAGTTATGTAAAAGTTTGATTCCTTCATTCCTAAAAGTAGTTTTTTTCTCAGCATCTATTTGAAAAGGACTTCCAAATTGATTTTGATCTGAATTTTTTTAAATGTATCTGCAAATAGTATGCAAAATGTTGTTACAAATGTGTTGTGACTCAGTTTCAATCAATTAATTTGCTGAAGATAAGCTATAAAGACGCAAGCCAGCTTTGAGCACTATGAGTATGTCTTTTGCTCTAGCATTGCCTTTTTTGAAAGGAAGGTCTTCAGACTCACTGAGTAACTTGACTTTATAAGGGAAATTCCCAGAAAAGGATTTCAACTTGTAATTTATGAAATGGTTTATGCATGTAGGAAGGTTTGGGCCCTGGTGACACTACAAGCACTTTCTGTGGGACACCAAATTATATTGCACCAGAGATCCTCAGAGGAGAAGAATATGGTAAGCTATGACTAAACAATTTGTAGTTATAATAAATAGCAAAACAAAGTTCTAGTTTTAGATTGGTTCAATTAAGATTATTTTTAGATTTCCACATATTTGTGCCATTAGATGTTGAGAAAATCGAATGCATATTGTATGGTTTATTTTTTTCTGAAATGATAAGGTTATTTCTGTTTTTCTCTTGCAATCACTCATTTCAGTTTCTTTTAAAACCCACTTTGCCTGACAAATAAGTATTAAATAATACTGTACCAAAACAAAGTCCACTCCTTGGAGAAGTTGACATCCCACCTACTGTTGTCCTCCAGTCAAGGTTATAGAATACTTATATATCATTATATAGAATACTTATATAGAATAACAATAGTTATTGCTCATGCAGAAGTCAAAATTATAATAGTCTTCTTAACCAGTGCTGTTATTTGTGAACTGATTTGATCAGTAGGTTGAATCTGGTATCTAGTTATAAGATACTAAAATGTTCATCTTCGTTTTTTTAAAAAAAAAAGTAAAAATTTTGAGTTTACACTGAATATTCATTGAAACATTGCTGTCTGGCAGACACCTGCAGACTCCTATACAGATTACATTTGTGATCCCAACTCAGAAAACTTTATCAATTCTCATCCAGTGATATGCAGTCACGATGTCTGTGGCTTCAGTGAAAGTAGAGTATTTCAGTACTTTGCAGAAACAAGTCCATTAATCTTCATTTATACGAGAGATAACACCTAAATTCAAGGAATTCTGGCTGAAAATCTGCGTTGCAAATATCTACAGGGTTCAGTGTGGACTGGTGGGCTCTCGGTGTGTTGATGTTTGAAATGATGGCAGGAAGGTCGCCGTTTGATATTATTACTGACAATCCAGACATGAACACTGAAGATTACCTCTTCCAAGGTACAGTCTTTTTTTTTTTTTTTTTTTCATTCTTGGGGGAGGAATAATGAAAATTTGCACTTCCAGTAGGACAGCTAGGTTTTGCTTTTCCATTGTTATCCCATAGCTGCCTGTAGATCTACTGTAAATAAGGGGACCAAATATTTCCAGTTCTTCATCCCAGGAATTTATTTTGGTGAACTCAGATAAAATGCTCTGCAATTAGGAAGCCTTCTCAACACAAAATATTTTTTTTTTTTAAATGTCCACAATTCAGAAATAACAGACAGAAATTGTATGGAATGGTATCTTTTTAATAGAAGGAAATTCACAGGCCAAGAATTAATTGTAAAAATCAGTGCTATGTGAGGGGTTAGAAGTATGTATCTTTCTTGACAGAAATCTGTCAATCTGTAGTCTTGCACCAGATAACTTGTAAGTGGTCGGGTTGTTTTGTTTAGTTATATTTCTGATTAAATTAATATAGCTTTTTTAATAGCTTTACCCTTCAGGAGTAGTGATGTATGAATTTTTCTAAGCAATAGTAGTGATACTTGCCATATTTATTAACACAAACTCTGTAACAGTTTGGGGAATTGCAAAGTTGCCTACTCCCTAATATGCAGAATCGTTCTTTAAACTGGTTATTGCAATTATGTAATAGAATCTGCCATGGTTGTCTTGATGAGCCTAATATTAAATCAGTTACTGTTTAAAATCACACTTTTCCATATACAGAGGACACTGAAACAGTTTTACTCCCTGTCTATACTACAAACTGTAGAAAAAGATAATGAAGCTAACTTTTTTTAGGAAATCTTGAAATGTCAGTATTAACAGTGCTTTGAATTACTGTAGCTCCTTCTGTTTGCATTATTTTAAATAATTACTGTATCTTTCCATTGTCCAAATGGTAACATATTTAAATAATACAGTGTTTGTATTGAAATCATGGTCAATGTCATAAAACAAAAACCAATATTGCTGTTTTTAAACCTCTTTTTAAACCTGTAACAGTTATTCTTGAGAAGCCAATCCGGATTCCAAGGTTTCTTTCTGTCAAGGCTTCCCATGTGTTAAAAGGATTTTTAAACAAGGTAAATAACATTCTCTTATTTTTAGCATCTAAGATCTGGAAGTCAGAGCTTCCCGTGGAAACCAATACAGTTAAGAAGTTAATCTGCTTACTATTAAAATCTGTAAAACCTTGGTATCCTGTATGTTAAAAAAAATCCCTTTTTAAGTGCTAATTTACTAAAGCAATTCCATAGCACAGACTTGACTTAAAAGCTTGCACCTAGTTGGAAAAAATAACTATAGGTTTGTTTATAAACTCTTTTCTGTAATACTTATTACTCATTTAATTAAGCTGATCGAAATCCATTGAACCATTATAGTCTTTAATGGAGAAAAGAAGGATATGAATTATACATTACTAAACAAATCTATTATTTTAAGAAGTAAAATATAATTTTAAAAAGAAATTTCAAACAAACAAGAACAAAAATCCCTTGGTAGCCATAATATATTTTAGCATCAGATTGCATAATAGTAGGGAACGCTGAAGTCGTGTATGTGGACTTTTGACACACAGGGACTGTAATTGGCTTGAAGTATGTAATATGAGTTTCTGTGTTTTCTGCAGGATCCCAAAGAAAGACTTGGTTGTCAGCCGCAGACAGGATTTTCTGATATCAAGTCTCATACATTTTTCCGCAGCATAGACTGGGATCTGGTAAAAATAATTACTTCCATTTATATGTGTTCAAAAGGAATAGAATCTTTGAGTTTATTAATTGTGTGCATATGTAACAACCCTATTAAAAACAGTGAAATTCAATTTCAGTAATTTTAAAAGCTATTTTGCTTTCTCCAGGTGATGGAGAAACAAGCTTTCTTTCATGCCCATAATGGAAACAAACTTTATTTCATAACCAAAATTCTGGCTTGCTTCCAAACTCTAAGAAGGGTTACAACTTGTGGGTATATTTTTTTAAAATACAGCATGAATCAAAAAAACAAAACAAAACAAAAAACAAACAAACAAACAAACAAAAACAAACAAACAAAAAACAAAACACAACAGCAAAAAAACCCCAAACAAACAAACATATTAAAGCATTGGTGGAACCATTTATGCCTGGGTTTCTATTTGTAGATTCTGCAAACTCATGCGCTGGGTTCTGCTGCTCTAAAATTGACCCCACATACACGTGAGGTGCCTGCAGTCATAATGTGAAGGGCTGCACAGGATTCCAGCATCAGAATTCAGTGCCTTACTGTTCGGGGTGGTCATCTCATCTAGTCCTCTTAGTCACCATTGCGAGCTCCACTGAACAAGGCAGTGCGGCCTAGCAAAGACAGCGTATTGGAATGCTATTCCAGTACTTAATTTCTTGTGTTGATTAGAAACCTTCCTGCCTTGGCAGGAGAGTTAATGGTTGATTAACACAGCCAACGGCCTGCGTGAAGTGCTGTGAAACCAGTTTAGGTACAACTGTGGGAGATGAGGTGCTTCAGGTACGTGAAGCATTCGTAATCTACTTGCAGTACATTTTAAAAAAAGACTGAAATAACAAATTACATAATTCTGAAAAGCAGTAGGATTATTCAGTTAGGTAACAGGGTTTAGTAACATGAGTAGTTGTAGAACCAGGTCCTTTTTTTTTTTTTTTTTTAAGGATGTGGCTTGAAAGCACTGTGGTTATTTCAAATGATTCTCTGATTATTAGTTTCAGATTTTCTTTATTACTGCTGGTGGAATGGAATTTTTCAGTTCGTGGTGGAGTAGATGACTTGCATGACAGTGGTTTGCAAGCATAAAATTTTATTGAAGTTGTAGGTGTTTTAAAAGCTTCTGTTACTTGGTAATTGTGCCTACTTCTGTCTTCATTGTAGAAAACTATCACAGAACTGATGTTACATTTATTGGCACTTGAGCAATAAAACAAGTCAGGAACACTGCTTTATCAGCATTACATTTCTTAATACCTAGTTGAACAGTGAAAAAAATATTCATATAATATTTTCATAGTCCTGGGAAGTCTACAGGAAGTGTACAAACAGGCAGACAGCAGTGCCTGTCATAACATGGAAGAGGTTCAGAGGAGGAGAGAAAACTGCAGGATTACATTTTTACTTTGAAGCCTGCTGTTCAGACCTTCATTGTTAACATTCTTCAGAGAAGACATTCACTAACTAAGGAGCCAGTGCTTTAAAATATGTGGTGTTTATAAAATTATTCATATAATGAAGGCTGTCTTTAATTTTGTCAGACATCCCTTCTTTTGTATCCTCCCTTAAGCCTCGGTGATGTTTTCTGTTAGCTGCCTAGTGCTGCTATAATGCAACTTGTGTGAGTTGGTGCTAGCGTGTAACCGTCATGTGCTGCAGGGTTTCTGTTCTGTTTTTCAGGTTTTTGAGAGTGAAGGAGGGAAGACTATTGTATTTGTATTTTGTTTATTTGTACAAGAAGCTTTTAATTGCAATTGGTACTTCTTGATCAACATCCTGATTTTAATTGTGATATTTTTTAACCTAATTTTTTCTTTGGTGAAAGCTTTGATACTACTATTTCTTAAAAAGCTAATGGAAAGATGTAGGTGGTTGTGCTGTTGTGGTATGATTAGGACAGTGCTGCTTAGGAGGATCTAAAATGTCATAAATTTTAAGCTAAATTTCTAATAAGAGTGTTGGGAAACCTATTAATGAGAAAATGAAATGTATTTTGGAAGTTTTTTTAGTTATTAGAATTTTCTTTGAGATGCAGGTGATGAGTAGAAAAGATTTTGACTTCAAAGCTTTTCCAAATCTTTTCAAGTTGTAACACAAGGAAACGAGTCTAATGCTGACTAAAATTTTTTTCTGTGTGAAGCTTGAGTTAATTGGAAAAATAAATAATGGTAAAGCAAACATATATACCATAAACATTTTTTCTTGGTGTTACTCATCTGAATTGTGCATGGCACATCTAAGAACATTTTCAATTACTTGCTCAGCGTATACAGCTTAACAGCATTCGGGGTTGAAGCCTTAATAGCATTCAGGGAAGTACCAAGACAACCTTTTTTTATTATTTCAGTACATGAAGTCTTTTCTTACCTTAGTGCCTTTTTTATGGTATTTATCTATTACATCCTGAAAAAATAACTGCAAAGCCGTGGCTGCTGTTAGCTGGGTACAGAAGCAGTAAGGGTTTTTCTGGAGCTGTACCAACATACTTGTTCACTCCTTTCCTCATGGTAAAGGCTGCAAGTTCACTGTATGGTTTATTTAAGAGTGCTTTTATGCTTTACTGAGTGTAACATAGAAGAGGCAGTCTGAAGTTTAGCGTCTAGTTGAATGCCTTGTTACTGAAATGTTAATGCATAGCTACCACTGACTCATAATGGCAATCTTACCACCACTTCAACTTTTAAATACTCATTTTGCTGTTTGTTTCATGCTGCCATTCTTGTTTGGGAGGAGCTAATTTTGTCTTCCTTTTAACTTTCATTTCATGATGCTTTTTGAGACCCGGTAACCGATGGGAGGTTGATGTGTTGAGATGCACTACCCAGTTAGGTTCACAATTTCCTCGCATTCTCATCTGTATTCATCATGCTCTTGTCTTAAGTGCAAGATTTTTCTGTGATTGATCACCTTTTTGTTGTTTGCTCTGTGCCAAGCATAATGAGATGTCCTGGCCCTGTAACCAGGTTTCCTACCTATGTTGGTAATAGAAGTAATCATTTTGGTCAGTGGTAACTACTTGTCACTTACGTTACACTTACCTTGTTTTTTCAGTTAGATTATGGACATTGTAGCTTTGGTTGTTTTTCAACCGAGTATAGATTTTAGAACTAGAATGTTGGTACCTGCTACGACAGATTTGACTACATGACAGCTTGTCTCCACTGCTGTGGTAGTAAGACTTTCAGGTTAAAGGCTAATTCAATAAAGTTATTTATTCTGTATAAATGTATTCATAAGTTTCCCTTCCTGCTAAATACAATTAGTAGCTGTCCCATACTTGTATGCTTACATTCCTAAATTGCGAGTTTTACTTATTACAGTCTTATATTCTCTGCATGTAGAGGATTTAATGTAGAACATTAAACTAGAAATCTGAGTCTTAAAATTGCAGTTTTTATTAATGACCTATGATATGACAGAAATAAGTTTCCTCTAATTGCACACAAATGCTATTTCTCAGGAAGAAAAGTAGATATATTGTGCTAACTCTTGTGTTGCAGCAGTAAGTGTCTGTGTGGGAATTTTTCAGTCCTGAGTGTAATTTACCAAGTTAGAGAAAACTTAAATGGCTGAATTATTTATGGACTTCTATTTCTAAACGCAGAGCACTAGTTACATTGGAGTCTGTTGCATGGCTTGTAATGTATATTACTCAGTTATTTTGACATTTCTCTTCAATAGCATTTAATGTAGATGAATTAGTAGAATTATTTTGTTAATTTTTACAGAAAGTGTTACTACAGTAACTTATTTCTGTTTGGAGGATGTGATTTTGTTACTCATGTAACTTTGTCTTCTGTTGTTAGTTTTGTTATGAAACGCACAGGTGCTTTCCCTTTTTTCCTATGAAAATGACCTATAAAATACATCAAATTAAGAATTTGGGAGCCAGTGCAGTTTGTCTAAACTTCTGTTTTAAATGGGAGAAATCTACTGTTTGCAGTTTGAATAATTCTATCTCAAAAGTGACAATAATTTATAGACAGTCCATAAGAATGACTAGGAAGATTAAGAAAAATGTTACATTGAATGGCAGCAAAAGGATTTTTCTGGGAGATATACAGTTTGCCTATTTTACTTGTCATGCTTTCTGGGGAGAGCACACATGAATGACATGTAGACTTGATAGCTCACATGACTGCTACTGGTGTGCAGCAATGCAGAGGTCTCTGTCAAATGCAGCTGAACCAGGTAACATACAGGTGTGATAGGTGTAACGCATTCCTTGCTGTAGCTGGAGAACATTCTTCAGAAAAAGCCTTCGGAAGGATGTTAATGAAACGGAATACTGTTCAGTGTTTAGTCAGATACAACTAAGGAGTGTGAAGGATCTGCAGGACCTTTAAGAGAATTTGCAAATATTGGTATAGAAGATCTCTCTTGTCAGTGTGTTCTGTCCAGACCTGCAGAGAAGTTGAGAGAGTTGACTGAGTTCACAGGAAGAACAGTCTCTGGTCAAGAGTAAATCTAGAAAAGGGAGCAAGGCTGTTTGCGTCAGAGCTGCTCTTGGATAATAATTGACCATCGTCTGTTACCCTAAGATCGTTCCCTCTGCACTCGGAAGGCTGGGCCAAAAGATCTGGACTTGCATTTTTCAGGAAGGAAGCGGGGGACAGGTTTTGCATCAGTTTATCAAATTCAAAGATCATAGAGATCTTTCCAGATAAATCTTAAAAATGCAATTCCAATTATGATCAAAATGCATTTTCCTATTTTCTAATTATTTTCAGCCTTTTTTTACTTGTAATACTATAAGCCTTCAGAAGCATACCAGCACCACACTAATTAGGGAACCAGAGAAGTCAGAGCTGACTCTCTTAATCTTGGGTAGTGATGCACTCTGTGGTAAGGGAAAGAAAGAAAAGAAAGAAAATGAGTCATTTGTTTCTTTCTGCAGGAATTCTGATGAAACATACATGACTTTCTGTATATTGTAACAAAATTGTGTAAACTTACTCATCATAAACATTACATTTTCTTATAGCTTTGAGAGCTTTTGAA